AACACTTCCAGGGAGGAGCAGCCACAGCTTCTCTGGCCAACCTGGGACACTGGCTCACCACCCTCACAGTGACAAACTTCTTCCTCACATCTCAGCTCCATCTCCCCTCTGCCACTTTCAAGCCATCACCCCTTGTTCTCTCACTCCCTGCCCTTGGCCAAAGTCCCTCCCCAGCCTTCCTGGAGCCCCTTCAGGTACTGGGAGGCCACTAGAAGGTCTCCCCAGAGCCTTCTCTTCTCCAAGCTCAACAAGCCCAGCTCTCTCACCCTTTCTTCAGCAGAGAGGTGCTCCAGCCCTCTGATCATCTTCCTGGTTCTTCTGACCAAAAATACCATGAAATAGTTTAATTTAAAAAAAAAAAATGGAAGCAGCTCATTAAAAACCTGAAACTCCAAGAACTGTCCCAGGTCAGGTGGATCAATGACACGAGGAACACGTGCTGGGGAGATGGAGCTGGAAGCAGCATTTTTGCTCCAGGCCAGGAGGACATCAGGGTAGAGCTCATCATCAGGGTCCATCCTTCAGCAGCTGGGAGGAGAGGACTGGGGGGAAATTAATTGAGCAGCAAAATCATTTGCAATTCAGGTAGAAAAGGGCTGGACAGTTGGGTGGGATCTGTAGCTTCGCCTCAGGGTCAGGGGACTGGAAGGAGCAATGTGATGGCAACCTTGAAGAGAGCTGGGAGAACCTGGGGGAACCCAAGATCAATAAGTCTGGGTCTTGAATCCAACAAACTAGCAGAAACCACAACCAAGAAAGAGAAGAGCAGGGAATTGGACAACCCAGACCTGAGGTGGTCATCTGCAGAGGAATGGTGAACCATGCAGGGGTGACACCATCTCCTGAAGAACTTGCTGGGGTATTGGTGCATCCTTCCTGGGCTCCCCAGAAGCTCATGGCATGGTCCTTCCCCAGGAGCTCTGCCACCTTGGACTAAGAGGATGGTCATCTCCTGGGCAAAGAGCTGGTTATATGGTAGGTGGCAAAAGATGGGAGCGTTGAGTTCATCAGTGATGGGTCCTCTGCTGGCTGCTACCAGTCTGGCCACAAATTATGAGGAAAAAGCAAAAGGGTTTTTTGATGAGATGATGAGAACATCACTGTGCCAGCACAGAAACGGATGGTGCATCCTCATGTGAACATTGTGCTTCCAGCTGGGGAAAGACACAACAGAATTGGACAAAGTATGAAGAAGACCAAAAGAACGATCAAAAACATGGACCTTCTTCTGCAGCAGGAGCTCTCTGGCCACCCCCTGAGTATTTTGCTGTGTTCCCAGCTCTGATGGAGGGATCAATTCCCAGGCAGCTCATTCCGAGCTTCAGCACGGAGCAATCCTTGCACCATGGGTGACAGGTCCAGGAGCAGAGGGACAAAACCCACCCTTCAGGTCAACTCTGCTGCCCATCAGCATGAAGGAGCTGCAGGAGCCACCTGAATCCAGCTGCAAGTCAATGTTTTGGGTACTTGACTTTGCCACGATTCATCTTTCCCTGGTTTTGTCCATTTGTCTTCTCCAGAGAGCAGTTGCCTTCCAACTCTTCATGCATATGTCTTGAAAACAGAGGTGGACAAGGTGATGCCCACAGCACGTTGCTGTTTTCCTACTGGGAACAGGAGGTGGGGAGACCTCATCCCACTTGGACCCTTTCACCAAAGAGGTCCAGATCCAAAGGAGGATGGGGAAGCTTTGGAGATCAGCGAGGGGTTGTCCCATCCCTCCAAAGTCCTGATGGAGAGGAGCTCTGTCCTGGTTGAGCGCAGAGACCAGGTTTTGGCAGCATCATGGGTGGAGCCATGGACAGGTCCAGCTCAGCTTGTCCCCTCCAAGGACAGTGTGCATGGTGGGGTGTCAAACCCCCCCAAAAAAGCCATCAGGGCTGTTCCACCATAAATACCACCCCCACGGTGGTGATGGATGAGCTGCATCCTGTGGGAGCTGAGCATGGAGCGGGGCAAGGAGCCAGGAGGAACCATGGGCTTGGCACATCCCACAGCCACATTTTTTTCCCCTCCTGGTTCATTGAATTTGTTTTGGAGGGAACATCATCTCTGGAAAACCCAAAGTTCATCCCTCAAGTCCTGTCCCAGAAGAAGGGGGGTATGGACAGCCCGTCAGACAGTTCTGACCTTTCCAGCAGAGCCAGCGTGTGTGGGACACCAAACACATCTCCTGGTGAGCTCAAAAGCAAAGAAATCAGGAGGTTGTAAGTCTGTGTGTGGGGTGGGTTTTTTAAGCATGTCCTCCAGGAGGTCTGCAGAGCAGGGTCAGCTTGTTCAAGGTCTCCTTGCCCAAGGGAAGGAGGTGTCTGGTCCCACATGGGGGTCACAGGAAGGTCCAGAGAGGTTGCACCCCCAATGCCTGCTGCACCTTCACAATATCTCCTTGGGCTTTTCAAAGAGCAGGGTGGGTGGAAAGGAGGACCAAGGGCTCAGCACCATCTCCCCAACCTTAGGTAACAGAGGCAAGCCTAGGTGGACAGTGTGCATGGTCCTGCAGTCTGGTGGCTCTTGTGGAAGGGATGAGGGACAACTGCTCCCAGCAAGTTTGGTGGCCTCAGGGACAGTCAAGAAGGTCAAATTCTCCCTCTCTGCTGAAGGAAAGCACCAAGAGCCATCAAGTGAGCTTGGTGGTCACAGAGGTCCAACTGCCACAGCCACCAGCTGCCACCAACACAACATCACAGCCCACTGCAGTGCTGTTCCCACAGCTCATCTGCTCTCCACCTACCTCCCGAAGCTCCAAGAGGAACAGCAGCTCTTGATTCCCCTTGGCAAGGACTTGCCAGAGCTAAAAACACATCAACGATGCTACTGCTGCCCTTCTCCAAACTGATGGGGTGGAGCTGCAGCAGGGGAGTCGTGTGGTCAGGCATGGGAATGGGACAGGACTTGGAGATCACCTTCATGGGCATACCTGAAGGCAATCTATGGTCCAAAGACCATGGTGAGGTCCATCTCTGAAACATCTTCCCAAGGACTGAGACGTCCTTGGGATAAAACACCATGGTCATACCACAGAGGTGCTCCTCAGAGGAGCTTCTTGCCCCCATAAAGCACAATCCAACCCAAAAAACAGGAGACATGGAGAGAACATGGAGAGAAAGACCACAGCCCCCTGCCAGCCTCCCTTGGACAAAGGGTCAAGTGCTTGAGAAGTGCTCAGAAAGGCAAAGCCACAGCAGATGCTGCCCATGGAGATGAAGAGATGGTTGTACCATCCAGCCCTGCAACATCCCTGTCTCCTGGTCAAGCTGTTGGACACACAACACCCATGCAGAGCCAAACTGGATGAGGCTTTGAGCAACCTGGTCTAGTGGAAGGTGTCCCTGCTGCTGGCAGGAGGGTTGGGACTGGATGAGCTTGAAGGTCCCTCCCAACCCAAACCAGTCTGGGGTTCTATAAACAACCCTTATGGGGGCTCTGCATGGGTGCTTCCT